TGACTAGTAATTCCTTGATATCGACTTCTATATAGTGAGAAAAATTAACCTAACTCCCCTAACTACAAATATAGAACAGAATGATAACCATCATCCTTATTTACTTACAAATATATATATCATAATTCGTGGGGATTTGATTGACACTCTCAATTCAACCTTAATTTATTATGCTTTATTTTTCAGACAATTCGACGGTCGTAGTCAGTTGTACATGATATCATGTAACTGGAACGATTTCATGTGTTATTTCAGAAATTACCATTACTATGGGCTTATGAAACAAATTTTAAGTAATGTCTGATTTTTAGAAGTCTACTGTTTCTTTAGAATATAAATGTTAATATATTAATCAGTTTATCATACATTATTCATTAGCTGTTTGTTTACCACATAGAATAAATGATTATATGACTGGCATCAGTAAAGTATATACTTAGTGATTAAACTCAGCAAATTATAACCAGTTCAGCAATTAAATTGATATTACAACACAAATGAATGTATTTTATGTAAATCCAACAATCAGTTAGCTTATAATTCACATAAAGTTGAATTCATTCTAACCACTGTTTGATTTAAAATGTGTCCCAGTTTTTATCCAAATTTGGTTAAAAATTGAAAACAGTTATTGGCTTTAAGATTATGTCAGAAAATAAGTTTGGTCAATAAATTCTTTTACTCTGTTCAAATGGAAATTTAGTGGTTGGCTAAAGAAGTGACCTTGAATGGTTGAAGCTCACTATAGTATGCAAAACCATTTCTCCATAATAAGAAATTTTTTCAGTGAATCTACTTATAAATTCTATAAACTAACAATCGTCTATTGGTGGTTTTTTTCACCACTCATAGTATTCATTTAATCGCTGATAACGTTCTTCGGAGTTCTATTTGTGATAAATAAATTAAGACACTCGTCAAACCGTCAGTCATTTTCATTTTTGTCTTTATAGTAGTAGTTAATTTTAACAATTGCTTTCCTTGATTTATGTTAATTTCTATTAAACTAGAGTTCCGGTATGAATAAAGAAGAATCTTCATTCTTACATAATAACATCAATAATCTTTTTTAATTCTAAAAGTTTGATGGAGATTTATCATGATTTTCACCAAAAGCTGACATAATGAGAAAAATTAGTGAGAACCAGAGAGTAGTAGGCAATTTGTTTTTTCTAGTGTAAGACTTCTTAACGCTATTTATTTACAAACGAAGATATTTAGATTATATGAGTGGTCACTAAGTTGGATTACTAATTTTGAAATTATACATCACGATTTTCACTTAATACCATTAGTGAGTTACTGTCTTACTTCCGAAATATAACTGACTCAGACTAGTTTTATATTCAGTAACCTAATCTTTTTCATTGGTTCACATAGCCTAAACATCCTAAATTTATTAGAAGAAAGTGACTTTCATAAAGTAAAAGACGTTCTGTTAATATACTAGTTTTTCTACTGGATAGTTTTACTCACATAAAAATAATGAATATGTTGTGTTCAATGGTATTCTGGAAAACAGTATGGCTGGTAGATCATCTCGCTTCAAACCACTTTGTCAATACTGTTGCATACTGAGATGTCGCTATACTAGATTTTTTAATTTCCTTTATACCTCTGGGATTATACCATTGAAATTGTTTTTTTTCTCATATCTGTAGTTTGTATCATTTGATGAAGATTCTTATATATGGTTACTTCTACTGTCTTTTGAATATATTTCAGTATACACGCGAAAATGGTCATGCATATTTTTGAAAAATGTGGTCTTTTAGCAGACTAGTTTCTCTGCGTACCTTCCCTTATCAACACAATACAATAATTGAGTCAGGTGAATACGGTATTCCAAACTATTCAACAAAACATAACCTTAACCTTATCTTACGGTTTTTCGTTATTGCTATTGCCAATCCTTATCTAGTTCATGTATAATTAGTGACGACAAATGTTAAACATTATCGAGTTTTTGTAATAACCGAAGTTTAAAATCAAAGGCAACTCAAAATACATTTTCTAGCAATAAAAACTTTAACAGAGTTTTGGTCTATGCATTGCCTTACCGTGAGTAAAAATATTCATTCAGCATCAAACCAATAAAGAAATTCTAGCCTGTCACCATTAAACAACATATTCTACACTCAACCAATAATTCGTTTTCTGGTACATTGATTACTATAATGCTTAGGGTCACATTTACATTAAGTTCATTTCTCGTCGTTAGTATACGCTTGAAATAATTATTGCGTAATCAGCACCAATGATACTTTCCACTATTTCTCACTTGGTGATGTTTTTTATAAACCAGCTAGATCTACTGTATTATCCCTCTAAACGATAACCTTAAGTTAATACTTACATAAAATAGATAGAACATAAGTAACAGTAAAATCTATGACCTATTTGAGACTCATTAGATGGATACGTCTACATCCCACACATCTATTTTATACAAACTTGTTTCATAATGACTATATCAAGAAAATATTCACTGGTTATAAAAATTTCGACCAAAACAGACAAATTTTCAGTTAGCAATGGAACAAGCCAAATCATTATAAATTAAGTTCAATTAATACTATTTAATAAGTTAGGAAAATGAAATTGAGATAATCAGTACATATTGGTTTGAATTATTTTTTATGGTTAGTGTATTTTTAGCGAGTTAATTTTCTATGGAATGGGGTCACTAACCCCATACGCAACCCTCCTCTTTTATCTAGGCTTTGGACCGGCATTAGCCCAATGGGGAATGAAAGTGGAGTTAATAAGAATATATTACCATCATCAATTTACCTGTATTTATATAGATAAGCTTAATGAATAATTTCTAATTAGATAACACAGAAATCGACCAAAAGTGTAAACATTTTATCTTTGTAATCCAAACTACTACTGGTCAACAATTTTATTGATTGGGAATGAACAAATTTTTTAATCTTTTTTTGTAATTTCTTGATGAATAAAAACAAAATCCAACACGTTTTATTTGTCCATTTTCTTTTACATTTTTAAAGCGGTTTTAATCACATTTTCAATGATAAATAAACATACCACTAATTTAGATTTAAATAGATAACTACAAAATATCACAGAAAAATCAATCCCATTATTAGACCATATAACAGTAATTACAATCCCATATTACAAATAAAAAAATATAAAAAAATAAACTTAAACGTTTTATATTCATAAGGGGAAAGTAGATTATCTAAAGTGAATTGACCTTTAATGTATAAGTACATCTAGGTAATGTAGACGCATGTATAAATCGGCATAGTGCTTTAAATGGAAACACTTTTTTTAAAAAAAACTGAAGGAAAGGTATATCTTTTAAAGTCACAAATGAAAATAATTTCAATCTATAAGTGGAGATTATATATTTATATGTAAGTGTACATATGTAATTTGTTTTGGCCTGCATGGCATAGATATTATTGATCGCCCTATTAATTTATAAGATTACTGTTAAATCATGATACTAACTAGAAAAACATAATTTACCAACCGATTAACATTGACATTATGGGATCGAAATTAATTTTAAAAATCTGTTCGCTCTGTTCTATGACGTAATGTGATATGAAAGTAATTTTCAATACATATTGACGTCACATTAAAACTAATTTGCAACCAGAATATATTGATTTATCCCAGTTTGTGACTTTCTTTCACAGACTACTGACTCTCCTACACAAAATCATGATATGATATCCAAAACTCATGAAGTTTATAACTCTGATGAGTATGCATTTATCAATTATTTTGGTTGACTAAAAAGTTAACCTAAGTATCATTCAGCATTATCGGGGACTTTGACGCTTTACAATCAATTTGCTTGTTTTTACGGAGTTACAGATCCGTACTATATCGTTGCAGTAGTTTCATCTCAAAGCTAGTTGTCCTTACAGTTATTTCTAGTGGTCTAGTATAGGTGACCTGACATTACGTGCACTATGTTGAGAAAAGATGGTGGTTGAAGATAGTCGACAGGAAACCCTGGACCCGAGTTTCGTGCTACTTGGCACTCGTCAGCAAAGTGTACCTGTAATCTTGAAGAAACTAGTGCTCCTTGATTGATTTGATCCCGTGTCACCCAGCTTCACAGTCAGAAAAGCTGCCATTGAGCTATCCGGGCCGCGACCGACCTCCAGTAGGACTGAGATATATTCATAATTGATTGATCACTGGGTGGTGATCAATGTCATGTGTTAAGTCTTTGTTAGTGTAGATCGAATGCTATCGACCAAGTCGCAATGTGTCCACTAGTCTAGTTGACTTGACATTGCGTGCACTAGGTTGAGATAAGATGGTGGTTAGAGGTAATCAACAAAAAACCCTGGACCCTGGAACATAGTGCACGCAATGTCGAGTTACCTAGACTAGTGGCCACATTGTAACTTGGTCAATAGCATTCGATCTGCACTAAGAAGGACTTGACACACGTGACATTGATCACCACCCAGTGATCAATTAATTGTGAAGATTTCGTGATGATACCGTGCTTTACACAATATCAAACTCTCCAAAAACCCCTTGACGGCAAAAAATAAATACAAGGACAGTTTAGAAGGACAACAAATCAGGTTATCGGTTACATAGAACTTGGAGGGAGATCGCAAGTGAACAAAACCATCCAGTTATGACTAAAATCATGATATTTCAGCTGATTAATAACTAACTTAAAAGTAATTGCTTGGCTAGAAAATACCTGCGCCTAATGTTTTTTTTTGATAACTAGATGCACATAGAGAATTATACTAAATATTCAGCTATTAATGCTTAGAATACTCAGTTAAAACAAATATTCTTGTCTAGTGAGAGTATAATTATATATGAAAACTAGTCAGATCTAGTTATTTTATTTATAAGTATTTATTACACAATTGTTTAAATGTCCAATCACTTCAACGGATCAAATTAAATTTTTCGAGAATACCTAATTAAGCATAAAATGAAATTTTCTATCATATAATTATCAAGTGATTATTATTACTTTCTAGGTATATCCTTGGTCTCCAGCTTTTGGTTGGCTTGAGATTGGAGACGAAATTCTAGAAATTGAAGGTCATTTAGGTACCGAATTAACAGAACAAGAATCTTATTCACTTACTGAATTGAAAAGTAATTATCTACGTCTTGGAATTCGACGGTAAGTTAAGAGAAAACTTATTATATTCCATTGAATAGATTTAATATAACCTGTACATTTTAGCAAGTATAATGAGGAAATAATAGATGAATCTAATTAATAATTTAACAAAAAAACTCGGTGATAAAAAACGTTTCATTGATTTTTTTCATATTTTTTAGGTTTTAGAAAAATCCAACATTATATAAGTAATCACTGAAAACCTCAGTAAATCGGAAATTTGTTTAATTCTCGTTTGAGATTCTACTGCTTAACATAGAGCTTTTACTTTGTTCCGTTCAAAAACCATAGACATGTAGACAAAAATTTAATAAACTAGAAAAAACGTTGTGGATCGTGCCAGTTCCTGTTGTCTAAAATGCTTAAAAACTTCATAACTATTAGGTTGACATAGACTATGGGCGATTATGGTTGTTTCCTGTAACGACATATCAAGAAAGGTAATGGCACTAAATACAGATAGGACCTAAACTACTGATACATTTAATATAAAAAATGCTGCGCCCTACTATAAATTCGCACAGAGAATAATATATTCCGCCATTAAGGTATCCACAGAGATGGCAAGTAGAAAAATATTTTCATTGTCTTAATCCATAAACGTTTGACATTCACACCTTCCTGTATGATTCAAGAAGAGAATTATTTGATATGAGAAAGGTTCATTGATCCCTAATCTGGAGCTCATTAGTCTTAATCTATAGGCCTAAACAGTACAATTACTTGTTACAACCAACAAGGTGAGTTAGTTGATTTGCGTAGATATTTAGTGTAAAAAGTAGGTCAAGTGAATTATTCTAGAGAAAAAAAATTAATGTATTGTTTAAATAGCCTAATTGTTTTCAAATGATATAAATAATCTTCAACACTCAATTGGTACGATGAACTATTTTTGCATACATTCCATTATAATATAGTTAATCCCTATAATGGACATTTAAGAAATGAATTAGATTTCTAACCATCAGATAATTAATGAGTTAGAACTTTTCTATTTTAGTAAAGTAAGATTGATAATAAACTACGTTTTACTTGTATTCAAGTAATTTATGATATCGTTGAGATTATATGGAATACAGTACATTTTCAGTTTAAAAAATGCTATTCATTTTTGCATTCATGTTTTGCTTTTTTTTTAAGTAATTGCTTTGCACATAATTTTTGGTAGTTACCACTCAGAATAATCTATCCCATGTTATAGATCTACAGAGAACATTACAAAATGTACTTAACACAATATGGAATTTTGTTAGTTATGTGTAATGTAACTGAAAAGTTTACCTTCATTTTTTATGATCTATTTTGTATCTTTGATGGTCAAATATTGTTATTTATACTGAATATGTTTATTGATAAGTTCAAACTGATATATTAAATCATAAGAACATTAAGTTGACACTTTTACCTTTTTTCATACTAACTAACTTTTTATTATTTTCCTATAAATTATTCATTATACGGAAATAAAGGTTATGAAAAGTTTCTTAGCTATGCAAACACTAAGTTGTTTCATTTCTGAAATAAATTGTTTTGAATATATAGTCTTGTTTTTTTTATTCATAGTTATCTGAGAAGACATTTTTTAGGATTGGATAAGGCGGTTCTAGCAATGATTTTTTATATTTTAACCAAAAAAGAGATTACTAATAGTACTAATTCAGTATACTTAAAACTGAGTTTGTTCACCCTTAAACCTTGAAAATTCATCCACAAGTATTAACGACCAAATAAATTCATTCGTCGATAGCGGGATTTATCATTTATGCATTCTCAGTTGGCCCGGTTCGCTTTTTATTCATTTTTCTCTTGTTCTTGCAGTTACTACCATTTCAGTGTCCAGTAAATGTTATGTGTTTGTAATCCTTTTTTTTCTGTTGACATTGTATTTTACCAACTAAAAAAAAATAGAACGGTCAAAATGATAACGATCTAAATTTAAAATATTATTACATTTCATTAACCTTATTTACTTACTTACGCCTGTTACTCCCAATGGGGCATAGGTCACCGATCAGCATTCTCCAACCCAATCTGTCCAGGCCTTCCTTTCCAGTTCTATCCTATTTTTGTTCATTCTTCTCATGTCTGTCTCCATGTGTCCTTTTGTCTTCCTCTTTTCCTTTGACCTTGAAGATTCCATGTGAGGGCTTGTCTTGTGACGTGGTTGGGTGCTTTCCTCAATGTGTATCCTATCCACTTCCAGCGCTTCTTCCTAATTTCTTCCTCCGCTGGGATCTGTTTTGTTCTTTCCCACAGTTGGTTGTTGCTAATAGTGTCCGGCCAGCGGGTCCGAAGTATTTTGCGTAGACAACTGTTAATAAACACCTGTATTTTCTGGATGATGGCTTTCGTAGTTCTCCAGGTTTCTGCCCCATACAGTAGAACTGTCTTGACATTTGTATTGAAAATCCTGACCTTGGTGTTGGTTGACAGTTGCTTTGAATTCCAGATGTTCCTCAGTTGTAAATATGCTGCTCTTGCTTTGCCGATCCGCGCCTTCACATCTGCATCAGATCCACCCTGTTCATCAATGATGCTGCCCAAATATGTAAAGGTTTTTACATCTTCCAAATCTTCTCCGTCAATTGTGATTGGATTGGTGCATGCTGTGTTGTATCGGAGAATCCTGCTTTTCCCTTTGTGTATATTGAGACCTACTGCTGCTGAGGCTGCTGCCACACTGGTCGTCTTCTCCTGCATTTGTTGTTGCGTTTGGGATAGAAGGGCCAGATCATCTGCGAAGTCTAGATCGTCCAACTGCATCCTAGATGTCCATTGTATCCCGTGCTTCCCTTCAGACGTTGACGTCTTCATGATCCAGTCGATCACCAGGAGAAAGAGAAAGGGTGAGAGTAAGCAACCTTGCCTGACACCGGTCTTTACTTCGAACGACTTTGTCAACTGTCCTCCATGCACGATTTTGCAGTTTGGTCCATCATAGGAATTCCGTATGATATTGACTATCTTCTGAGGCACGCCGTAGTGTCGAAGAAGTTTCCATAGTGTTGTTCTGTCCACGCTATCAAATGCCTTTTCGTAGTCAATGTAGAGTGATGAATTCCATTCAATTGATTGTTCCACAATGATCCGTAGAGTTGCGATTTGGTCTGTACACGATCTATCCTTACGGAATCCTGCCTGTTGGTCACGAAGTTGGGCGTCTACGCAGTCCTTCATCCTGTTTAACAATACCCTGTTGAAGACTTTTTCCGGTATTGAGAGAAGAGTGATGCCCCTGTAGTTATCACACTTGCTGAGATCGCCTTTCTTCGGTATTTTGATCAGAAGTCCTTCTTTCCAGTCTTTTGGTACTTGTTCCTCATCCCAAATCTTATTGAAGAGAATGTGGAGTATCCTTGCAGTTGCCGCTACGTCTGCTTTTAGTGCCTCTGCTGGAATGTTGTCCGGTCCTGCTGCTTTGCCACTCTTGATTTGTCTGATGGCCATGCTGATTTCTTCAATTGTTGGTGGGCCAACATTGATTGGGAGGTCCGTGGGTGCTGCTTCGATGTTGGGTGGGTTCAGTGGAGCTGGTCGATTCAAGAGTTCTTTGAAGTGTTCTACCCACCTGTTTTGTTGCTCTTCAATGTTGGTGATTACCTCGCCTTCCTTGCTTTTCACTGGTCGTTCTGGTTTGCGGCGATTTCCAGAGAGTTTCTTTGTCGTGTCATACAGTTGTCTCATGTTTCCTTCTCTTGCAGCCTTTTCCGCCGTCGTTGCTAAATCTTCCACATATTTACGTTTGTCGGTTCTGATGCTCCTCTTCACTTGTTTGTTTACTTCTGTGTATTCAGCTTGTGCCTTGGCTTTTTCTGCTCTTGTTCGACTGGTATTGATTGCTGCCTTCTTGTTCCTCCTTTCTTGAATCTTATCCAGTGTATCAACAGTGATCCATTCCTTGTGATGGTGCTTCTTGTGACCCAGGACCTCATGACATGTTGAAGTGATTGCCTCTTTGATCCCCTTCCAGTTGCTCTCCACAGTAGTTCCTTCTCCATTGAGTAGATCATGAAAGGCCTGGAACTTGTTGCTGAGGACTATCTTGAATTTGTTGAGTTTGTTAGTATCCTGAAGAAAGGCCGTATTGAACTTTTGTGATATTGTCCGCCCCGTTGTCCAGTGCTTCTTGAGTTTCAATTTCATCTTGGCGACCAGCAAGTGATGATCTGATGCTATATCAGCTCCTCTCTTGGTTCTCACGTCCTCTATAGTCCTCCTGAACGTTTTGTTGATGCAAATATGGTCGATTTGGTTTTGTGTATAGTGATCCGGTGAAGTCCATGTGGTTTTGTGTATGCGTTTATGTGGGAATATGGTGCCGCCTATGACCAGTTTATTGAAGGCACATAGGTTTGCAAATCTCTCACCATTTTCGTTCTTTCTCCCAGTCCGTGTCGTCCCATGATGTCTTCATATCCAGTGTTGTCCGTTCCAACCTTGGCGTTGAAATCTCCCATCAGAATGGTCAGGTCCTTTGTTGGGCACTTCTCGACGATTGACTGCAGCCTATTGTAGAATTGATCTTTAGCGTCTTCATTGTAGTCGTTGGTAGGCGCATAGCATTGGATGATGTTCATTGAAATGCCCTCTTTCTTTGTTTTGAAGGAGGCTTTGATGATCCTTGGTCCATGAGATTCCCATTCTATAATTGCATTTCGTGCTTGTTTGGACAGCATCACTGCAACTCTTTGTGTATGTGGGGCATTTTCTTCATCTTGGCCGGAGTATAAGAGAAGCTCTCCTGAAGCTAGTCGTTGTTGTCCAACTTGCATCCAATTTCATTAACCTACTTAATAAGTATAAAATGTTAGATAGAATATACTTTGTTTACATAGTAATGCGGTCGAACAATCACAAAACATTTGAAGTACTATGAAAGTATTCATGAAAAGATTTGAAAACAAAGAAACTTGATATTTAAAATGAATTACAGGTTAGCCTATAACTTGACAGATCAAGATTATAAACAGTCGAATGGGTTATCAAAAGTTTAAATGATGTATAACCATAAAACAAATTGAATATTACCCTTTTTAAAAATCCTAAAATATTGTTTTTTTACTGATTTTTATCAAGTGAAAATAGCTTTTGAAAATACATCTTAAAACCAATTTTGGTAAATATTGTTATGTTCAACATAATTGTTTTCTTTTTGATGTTAATTCTTTTTCAGCTTACCAATGTTTAGTAATCAGTATATGGGAACAAGGCCAACTTCTAGAAATCTTTCAAGAGCTGCCAGTACAACAGTCTATGGTCAATCTGGACCATATTCTAGACTTAATGCAGTGAGTTTTTAAAAAAAAATAATATTGGACTTAAATTCTTTTTATATGAATTAAATAACATTACTTTCCATAGTAGAATTTTATTTCAACATAAGAAGGCTTTAAAACAGGCAATTTTCAAATAAAACCTGTATCTTTTGAAATCGGATTTATGTACATGACATATTTAGCCATATTTTCTCTATAGAATCCTTTTATCTTATAATAAAACTATCAAAACAAATTTTTTTCTTATCTTAATTTGTTATTTAGAATAACTGAACTCTATAAATTAGTAAACGAGACTTGTTGAATTCATAGTTGTAGTTAATCGAAGTTACACTTTAGTTTCAGGGTGTATAGAGACGTTCCTAATTCATAAAATGGTGTGCAGTGGCATATCCAGCAACTATTCACAATTTGTTTTCACTCTATTTCATATTATAGTTTTTTTACAGTTATAGATGGTGATTTATGTATGATTTGTACATTACCAATCAAGTGAAGCTGGAAAACTCTTAAATTTGAACTCAATCACTGAATAGTATCATCCCCGTCATGAGACTGGTACTCTCCATGCAATATGCGGTCAGGCTAAAATAATGTACAAATACAAATAATTTTTTATGTATATTATGCCTGTTGGAATGAAATTTCATTTCATTATTCATCCCCGTGAAATGTCAGTTAGTTTAAGCCCTTTTTTAAAGATTTTACATGGATACTAAATGTACATAGAAAATACTATAATAAAAATACCACTTCAGTAATGAGATCAGATTATTAATAACAGCGTAAAAATGTATTCTAAAATCATTAAAGTAAAAGACTAATACTGTAGTATAGTTTTTACTTAAGAAACATTTTAATGATGAATTATTCATTTGCTACAAAATAATTCTCATTAGTACTATGTTTCACAGTCAGTTTAGGCAAAGTCAGGGATGACATTTATTATTTTAATTAGTTTTTATTTAAATGTTAACTCTTTACACCAGTAATTGTAACATTCGGTCTTACGTAGGTGTAAGTTTAGCCTAAAGATACTTTGTGAACTGAAGGACAATTAATAAGTGAATCTGGAAAAGAACAGGAAAAAAGTAAGGATATATCTTCGTAAGCAAATCGAATTTACTTACATTTAATAGTGATGACAATCTACTGTAATTGGCATTAATATAGGCATGAGATTAAGATACCCTGGTAATTTTAGTTAAGAATTCCATGATTAAAATTTTAAATTAGATACACATTTAGCACTCAAAGAAAATTTAAATTTTTTTAAAAATATTGAATATATATGAAAGTGTTCAATTCATTTGTTTTGTTTTGTATTTAATGATTTAGCAACAACCTCAACAGAAACCAGTAAATGCCAAAGATAATAATGATGTTGAACCAGAAGAAGTTGATTACAGTTTTATGAATCTACCAGTTCGTGAAAGACGAAAACTTTTTCTTGGTGGAGGTCAACCGCCTACTATTCAAAGAGGTTATCTACATTCATTAACAAGTGAGTTTAATACTTGAACAATTATTTTTTTTATTAACACTGTAAATGTTAACTCTTTTTGTATCAATTAAAAAATACAGTGATTACAAAACATGATAAGTGAAATAATCATTATAGGAAAAAGGATATTAAATACTTATGAGAAGGAATAGCAGTCAATATTGTTAGAGTTTATTCATAGTACTATGAGTCTAAATCGCTTGATTACTATCCAGTCATCGTTGTTATCCTAATTTGGATAATACACAGCTCTATAATAACTACATTATAATGTAGATTATTACTTGACACCTTACTTTCTCAAAGTTATATTAGTTATATTGGTTCCAAATTAAAAGTATGCTATAGCTTCGAAATATACTTTTACCGAACTACTTTTTTAAAACTATAACGATTACATTATTATACTAGACAGGAACAATATTAGAAAAACAGTCCTAAAATCAATTCATAAGTTAAAAATCTTTATGTCACTTGAAATATGAAGGTGAATAGATATTTAAAATGTTTTACTAATCACTATGAAAGCACATTACTATTATTATTATTATTATTATTATTATTAAAACGTTTTTCTGCCGTCGCTGTGCTCCTAAACTAATAAACAGTTTTTTCCATCTATGAGCTTGCTAATAAGCTATTTGTTTGATCGAAAAAATTAGATGTAATCAATGGGATGACTTATAAGTTTGAATAATCAGATTCGAGATAGTTGTATTTACTTTTTAATTACCAAATATATTGCATACGAAAATGAACTTATGAGAAACGTTTATCAAATAACGTTCCTAATGAAAACACATAATTGATTGATATACAAATAACATGTTTGAATACACTTACTTACGCCTGTTACTCCTCGTGGAGGAGCGTAGGCCGCTCGCCAGCACTCTCCATCCAACCCTGTCTTGAGCAATCCTTTCCACTTGCTTCCAGTTGCTATTCATCCTTTCTTTGTTCGCTTCCGATTCCCGACGTAGTGTGTTCTTCGGCTTTCTTCTTTTTCGTTTACCTCAGGATCCCAAGTTGGGGCTTGCCTCGTGATACAGTTTAGTGATTTCCGTAATGTATGTCCAAACCACTTTCAACGTCCTTCCCTAATTTACTTTTCAGCTCAGGGCTGGTTTTCTCTCTCCCACAGTAGGCCAACGGACATTCAGTATCTTAAGTAGACAATTTTTTATAAATACTTGTACCGTTTTGATGATGGTTGTGGTAGTTCTCCAAGTTTCAGCTCCGTACAGTAGGACCGTCCTGACGTTCGTATAGAAAATTATGACTTTGACATTGGTTGACAAATGTTTTGAGTTCCATATGTTCTTCAACTGTAAGAATGCTACCCTTGTTTTGCCAATCCTCGCATTTATGTCTGCATTCGATCCTCCATGTTAATCGAATATGCTACCCAGATACATGAAACTTTCCATATCTTCTAGAATTTCCCCATATTTCAATACAGCAATACACCAATAAATAAATTTATTGATTTCTCTGTCTATATAGCATTACATTAGTTAAAATAGATTATAAAAGGAAATGCTTTAAAATAAATATGATACCTATAATCATGTTCAATGATTATTCAATTATCCTCTTATAGTTTCTAATTGTGTATAGGTATGTGCATCTATTAATGTATAATGTAGATAAGTGTATGTATTTATGATATTATTATATACAAAATGATAAAAATATATTGAATTTATTCAATGCTTTTTTATAAGAATTCAATAGTTTTGTTTAAATTTGTTAAATTATGCTTTATATGTTATATACACAGAAATAAATAATACGATTCATCATTCTATAGTCAATCTAATAAACTTTGATATTTTATCTTTAAGTATCTTTGGGTGAATCTGTGTGTATATCAAGGACATGAATATAAATGCACAAGAACACATTCAATATTGATGTATATAAGAATAAGTATAGATTAGTATAGAATATGGCAAATAGTATAACTTAGTGCGAGTGGAGGAGGGAGGAGGAATTCAAAGACATTGAAGAAAAGAATACATTCAGTAGCATTATATAATTTCTTTTTTAATATATTAAGAATAAATGAATAAATATTAAAAAAAGAAATTGTCCTTTCCAAACAATGATAATATATATATATATATATATATATATATATATATATATATATATATATATGTTTATGTATATTCATGCAAGTAAGTACTTGATATTTAAAATAGTTAACATGGGATTTTAAATGTCATTTACATTATTCTATATATATGTTTTAAAACTATATGCGTAATGTGAATTTCTTGCAATGTACATCTAAAATGTGGACAAGATAAATGTATAAATGCATAAAAATTATTGTTTATTTTTCAAGATGATATCAACGTCATAACTTTATAAGATTTCCATTTGTAATAGTAATAGTCTTTAATTTGAATGGATTCAACATTCTTTTATTGATTTATTCAAAGTGATTAAGTTAGTTTTGTCGACATTTGAACTTCTTTGAATAGAGGCTTCAATATTCTATACCATATCATATGAAAATTCATGATGAAAGATAATGTTTCAGTGATAAATCCAAATCATTAATAATCATTTAATAGTTAAATTCATGAGTCGATTGAAGCTCGATCACTATGGAAAACCCAAAAGCACTGGACGGCGGTTTCGTTCTAGTACAGGACTCCTCGGTAGTGCATATCCATGATCCAGTTTCTCGAGATTTGGACCTAGGACCTATCAGTGTGGTGTGAGCTACTTATATTGATATGAGTAGTATATAGCGTGAGTTAAAAGAACGTGATGTCTGGTAGCAGAAAATGGGGAAGATGAAGAAAGGAAGTGCGAGAACACAATAGAATTTGTAAGAAAACGCATGAACAATGGAATGGGAGACAATGGATTGGTGTTTGCAACAGCAACAGTCCAGTTTGGTTTGATGCATGAATATTTTTGCAAATTGACAATTTACTATATGGTATTCAGACTTTATTGGCATAGTCTGTAAGTTTTGTTTTAAATATATGCGATTGTCCTCACTCGTGTTCTGTTCACTACATCAGTCTCGCGAGAGAGCACTTAACTACTAGACTACCGGTGTTAATGTTTGACTTCGACCAGTCCATGAAGTAGCACCATCATCCACCATTGTCTTCAGTGAGTTACTATCTTGCAACAGACCTGGTTGCGATTCACTGGTCACGGCTTCTCACTAGAACTCCAGGAAGTACCTCTTGGAGACCGTCATTAGTGAGCATATGATGATTATAGTCAGAGAGGGATTTTGTGAATATTATAGTAATTTAATAATTGAATTCATGAGTTATTAATATTAAATCACAAAACTAGAATAACTTAACTTTTCATTTTATTGACTTAATTTCCAAAGTATATCAGATAAGAATTAACATTTTCTTTATAACTTTCTGAGTAAAACTACTTATTAATACAAGTAATATTTTAAATGATAAAAATCTTAGTGTCAATACTTCATTATAACAACTATTGTGGGATTTGAAGACGGCCAGATATTTATTTATATACTAGTCAAATCACATCAACCAATTTATACAATAGCCACCAGTTTAAATGACTCTATAACGTAGTGGTTGTAGATATTCGTTTAAAAGCCTTCGACTTCTGTGTAATGTAATCAACCTCCCTCTTCTACTCCTATTATTCCTCCTACATCGACTTTCAACTATAAAATTCCTCACTTGACTTCCCCCTCAAGTGTCACCATAACCAACGATTCTAGCGCTCAAAACACTGTCCCAGGTCTACTGAAACCTCGCTTCACACTACACATTGGAGCCTTCAACGTACGCACCCTATGTCAAATCGGTCAGCAGGCTTCCATGGCTAGAACCCTAGAATCTCGTACCATTGATGTATGCTGTGTCTCCGAAACACGCATACAGGATCCCAGTGTGGTCATTCACTTGACCTCACCTCGACAAAACGGAGAGCCGACGAGATACACCCTCCGTGTATCTGGTGACCCGACGGCCAGCTCTCGTGGACTGGCAGGAGTAGGCATAGCACTAAGCATGAGGGCGAAACAAGCACTGTTAGAGTGGATCCCCGTCAACAGTCGTCTATGTGCTGTTCGGCTAAACGGCTCCGTAAGAACTCGGTAGGATAGGAACACACGTCGTTGCCTTTTTATCGTTTCTGCCTACGCTCCCACCGACTGCAGCTCAGATGAAGTGAAAGATGGATTTTACAGAAAGCTTTCTGAACTTCTTCAGAAAGCTAAGCGTTCAGACATAGTACTCGTAGCAGGTGACTTTAATGCTCAAGTAGGTAGCCTAAACCAAACAGAAAGGTATTTAGATGGGTATTTTAGTATTCCTGCACAGCGAACAGATAATGGTGATGGTCTGCTGCAACTATGCTCAGACAATCGTTTATTTTTAGCAAACACAAATTTTAAGCATAAGGAGAGACATCGTCTAACATGGCGACCCCCTACACCAAACCAACAACGGACTCAAATGGACCGTATTGCCATCAGTCATCGTTGGAGAGGGTCGGTAGAAGATTGTCGCTCATTCTGGAGTACCTGCTTGGACTCAGACCACGGCCTAATACGGGCACGCATCGGCTTGCGCCTCACTGGACGCAAAAACGCCACACTAAAAAGACCCATTAGAACTGAGTTGAGTAGTGAAAAAACCAAAAGTAGGTTCCAGGAACAACTGAGGTCACACTTAGGTAGTTCTGAAAACGAGGTAGACCCAGATGTTGCTTGGAAAGCTATACAACTGCTGTGGAAACAGCAGTGACATCTATCAGTGATTTAAACCACAGAGTTACAAAGAACGAATGGATTTCCTCTAGGTCTATTGCACTGGTGGATTCTCGTAAACTCATCCCATCAGGTTCCGAACACGATAAAGAGCGTAAAGAAAGCAGATCTAGGTTAAGCAGAAGTCTAAGGAACGGCCGTGAGCAGTGGTTGGCAATGAAAGCAAAAGAGTTGGAAAAGGCAGCGGCTATAGGTAACACAAGACAGCTCTACAGATTAATAAAATAAACTGGAATTAATAAGTCAAGTGTAAGTCAGACTATTTCGGAAAAAGACGACACCCTCATCTGCTCTCAGTCCAGACGTTTAAAACGATGGGCGGAACATTTCAGAGAACAGTTCAGCTGGCCATCAGCTACTCTACAACTAACCACCTTTACCAGACAGTGTGAATGGAACATTGAAGTAGGTCCCCCAACTCTTGCTGAAGTTCAAAAGGCCATAGTTAATCTGAAACGAGGAAGGGCAGCTGGTCCAGATGGACTGGCTCCAGAGGTCTTTAAGGGTGGTGGTCCAATTTTAGCGATTAGGTTGACGAATATTTTAGCTAAGATCTGGGAGTTAGACGTTATTCCATCTGACTGGTCACAATCAGACGCTTAACTAAGACTCGTGAACTGCAAACACGTGAGAATCAAGGTGGCTGCAGACCTGGTCGTGGCTGCATCGACCACATATTCACCATTCGTCAGGTTCTAGAACATAGGCATACTTATCGGCGTCCGACAATGGTGGTCTTTCTTGACTTGAAAGCAGCATTTGACTCCGTAGACCGCGAGATTCTGTGGCAGTGTCTGTCATTGAAAGGCGTACCTCAGAAGTACATAAACCTTGTAAAGGCTCTTTACTCGAACACTACTAGTCGAGTCAGAGCTTATGGCGAACTGTCATCTGCTTTTGCAACCTCAAGTGGTGTCCGTCAAGGCTGTCCACTTTCTCCATTTTTGTTTAACTTCATCATAGACCTATTGATGGAAATAACATTCTCGTCGACTGAATTTTCGGGTATTGATCTCCATCCAGGAGGTCCACTTATCGACTTAGAATACGCAGATGACATAGTCCTGTTTGGTGAAGACGCTGACAAAATGCAGAGTCTTTTGGTAGCACTAAGCAACAATGCCAGAATGTTTGGAATGCGCTTCTCTCCCTCTAAATGCAAGTTGTTGCTTCAGGACTGGTCTGCGTCAACACCTGAACTAAGGATAGGGAGTGAAGTAGTCGAACGCGTTGACAACTTCACTTATCTTGGAAGTCTGATCAGCCCTAATGGGTTGGTGTCTGACGAAATCTCAGCACGGATTCGAAAAGCTCGTTTGGCTTTTGCCAACTTACGTCACCTATGGCGAAGGCGAGATATCCGTCTATCAATAAAAGGACGAGTATACTGCGCGGTAATCCGTTCTGTTTTACTTTACGGCAGCGAAACATGGCCATTAAGAGTAGAAGACACTCGTAAGCTACTAGTATTTGACCACAGATGCCTTAGAAATATTGCTAGCGTCTGCTGGGATCACCGGGTAAGTAATAGTGAGGTTAGACGCAGGGTATTAGGGAATGATGGTAAATCAGTTGATGAGGTTGTGAATCTTCATCGACTGAGATGGTTGGGCCGCGTGTTACGTATGCCTGAATACCGATTACCACGACGTGCAATGCTATCCGGTATTGGAGATTGTTGGGAGAAAGTTAGGGGCGGCCAAACCAAAACGTGGCATCAGTGCTTGAAGTCACTAACTTCTAGTCTGAGCCATGTTGGTAGATGCAGACTACTTGGTTGGGGTCCGCGTGACTTCGTAACCAATGGTTGGAGACTCTTGGTGACATGGCTCAGAATCGATCACAATGGCTTAGGTGTATACACTCTCTATCTTCCCTTAAACTAAGAGATTAAAATCGCTCCATATCTTTCTTTCCACGAACTAATTCTTTCTTCCTGTACTATATCCTTATTGCAATCTTTATTTTATATATTACCACCTCTGAATTAACTACTTTTATGAATCCGGTGTCCATCTTGTTGTGTTAATGAGGTATGGCAACTTGGACCGATGCATAACTGTGCCTGGTCCTACGTTGTAGCTGACTGACTGACATACTATAAATATGCATCTGTAGTTCTAAAATAGTTAGCATTTAAATTTTTCAAATAATCATTATTTCGAGTCATATTTACATCCGTAAAATGCAATCAGTGTTTTGAATAATTACGTTATTATAAGAGGTGAAATGATAATGATTATTATGTTAATTTTTATTCATGTCCAGTGCCAAGAAAAAGAAACGATGTAAACAATTTTCATAATCGATATGAAACTCAATCGGAATATGGTGGAACAGATCATAACTTTGGATGGGATGCTCCAGTAACACCAACATGGGTTAGAGAAAATCGTACAACCAATACTAGTGAACCAGTAAAATCAAGATCAACTAAAACATTCAGTTTGTCTACAATGCCATCAGAAAAATCATTTCAACAGGAATTCACTCAATATGTTGCTGGACCACCTTCACCTCGTTACAATCAGGTAAATTAACAGACTACTGATTTTGTAATTGGATGTCATTATTTTTTGTGAAATTCATATCTCTCATAATAAATATTACTTTATTGATACACAATTTATTGAAAGTGGATGCTTTAGACAACTTGTGAGATAAATTCATACGAATACGATTACTTCGAAGTTTCTTATAACTATCATTATTAAAATTTAAACTAATTGGAATGATTGGATTTAAACAATTTGATTGGTAATATTCATTGGTAATGCGTTTTTCTAAAATACGGAAAACTTAGATGTGATATAAATATATTTTCTGATAGACCACATTAAGTGGTGTCCAAAAAACAAATCAAATAGCTAGCTACCTATAATTACTAACTGTTTACACTATATTAATAGTAAATTTCAAAACTTTGGTGTGTACGATAGGAAAATCTGTTATTTAACAAGGTATTTATGCAGTGTAAAATCTGGTCACAAATAGTTCGATGAAAGAAAAGGTTATTATTTTGCTGAGTAACACAAGTTCCAAAATTTCATAGCTCACAAAGCTGACGTTCAAGGATTCCTGCTATTTGTGAAGAATAAAGGTGATGGGTTTGTATCTTAATAAGAATTATGAAAGAATAAATTAATAATCGAGGCTCAAATAGCCTTCTAATTATTCCAGTAACAAACTAGATATGATTTTCTGGTAATTTCATGCCAAAAACTGACATCATTTTTAAACTTGGTTGTTTATTTAATAATAAATTTTGATGTTAAGATATGCAAAAGAGATTTTGACAGCCAATAATATTTATTGAAGTTTTCAATTCGAACCAATAGTGAATCCGCTAAATCATGAATTGACTTTAAATTTCAAGATACAGTGCTCGATTGGTTGTATATGTGTTATATCTAGATGCTTATATTCTTGATATGACGAGTATAACTTGAGCACTAGAATGCTAGAACCCTTCCAAGTCGCAATGAGAAGACAGAAAACTGGTGAAAGGAATGTTATTCCAGACAGTGTCAAATTATAGCACAAAGCTGTCAGGTATTTATAGTTTTTATTAAAAACCAAATCATCATTATAGCTATTCAATCCGCACACAGGAGGTTATTAGCATTGTACAATCGGGAAGCTACACGTAGAAATTCCAGAATATTTTTCCAAAAATGATTGGATGGAATATCTTCGGCTCTTTCTGAGCTTCTTAAGGCTTCCTCGAGTTCACCCGTGGACCATCCTCACAATATGTTTCGAAAAACAGTAGTAAATTTGTATGCTTTATTATTATGTGTAACAGTACTTCATGGAATCAATAACAAAGCACCTAAAGAGCAGAATTACTCATACGCTCTTTTAACGTATATCAAATAAATAATTCCTTTTTTTTCATTAAATTAGTGAGTTTTGTAAGGAACATTACAATTCATAATTATATTTCACTATATTACCACATAGTACGTATTGCATTTGACATACTATTCAAAAGTGCAACTTGAACAAATTATGGACAAAATAGACAAAAAATCTTATTTCAAATTTCTATAATACAACATGCTTTGTTGTACGTATATTAAAGTATAAAATGGAATGTATAGTGTGCTTTTTTTCTCTCAGATATAAGAAAAATATCCATATACTCTGTTATCAGACTACTTATCTAACCTTGTTATTAATGTCCATTGTTTTCTTTGCATAGTTTTCTATCTTTGTAGCTACTTTTCAAATAAAGCTATATATATACTTCTTATCTTATGCATATATTGTTAGAATTAACGTGTTGATATATGACCTAAATTCATGGACATTTAGGATAAAATTTGATTATCTTTGCACCTTTTATTTAGGCAGATAAGAAAATTTATGTCTGTAACCAAAGTTAAATGTTCCCATCCGTATACCCATAAATTGAACTAATTTATATCAACTTTTGTGACCGTTTACTTTGTTGAGTTTAAAAACACAGTGATTTACATATATCATTGATTTTACATAATGCATATACTGTTCATATGTTTTCTGGTACATTGTACTGATCAGTTTGTATGTACCATCTTCGTTAGCTGTGGTGAATAGAAAAAAAGATTGACTTAGTTTTCTTGTAATTCGTTTACCAGTTGATGAACAGTGTCGTATTCGATTTTAGTCTTGGGACTCTACTGGATTGATTATAATACCTAGTGCATTATTGCAAAAGTATAATACAGTATTTTGGTGGAGTTTTGTTCTCTGAGGTAGACACCAAACCCTATATGAAATTATTAGTTGACCATCTCACTTATTTCAGTGTTTTATCAGTCATGTCTTATATTTGGTTTCAAAAATGTTCTATCAAAATGTTTTTAATGATCACAACTATTAGCGTTCGAAGTGAGTAATCATTTGATCTAAATTGAATAAAGATAAGCTTAGGTACTTTCATAAGAAAACAAAATATTCAATGACTGAGAGTGGAAAATAAACATCCTCAGACTTAGACTTCGTATTACTTGAAATTCTTTCTGAAGGATGATATCAATAAAATTACGAAAATAGAGCAGAAGATCACTTATAATTCCTGGGTTTTTTGTGATTACTCCCAGCCACCAAATACCAGTGCCAATATAATTGAAGTGTGTAATTATTTGGCTAAGTGGTACTGTAGTGAACGAGAACACAAGTGCTGACAACCAAATACATTTTGAACAAAAATTACAGAACACCTTAGTAAAATATGAGAACCATACAATGAATACTTAATTTGCAAAATGTCAATCATTTGTCTCAAACTTGACTGTGCTTCTTTCAAATTTCAGTCAATCATCTCAGACTTTATTGTTCCTGCATTTCCATACCAATTGCTTTCTGTTCTCGTCCTTTCCTCCTCGATCTTCTTGAGATTTTGCTTCCAGACCAGAGTTATATACAACACTATATAAGTAGCACACACCACAGTATCATCGAAAATTTAATTGGCAGATTTCGATAAACAGTGATTAAGAGACATAAAATATAAGTTGTTTAATCGAATACAACATGGGTTAAAAAGTCAATTCTATATAGCATTCGTATCAGCATTTAGATTCGCTACACAGTTGATTACAAACCGCGGTCTATTATTAACCTAGAACTTTAGTAAGGTTATTCGAAATTAATGGGTTTAAATAACCTGTATTATATATATATATATATATATATATATATATATATATATATATATATATATATATATCAAGCTTTGCTCAATTGCTTGATCGTAATTATAAATTTTATTGAATCAGTATTTGTTTCAATTTATACAAAATTTTGATAAGGAAGAAAGTCATTGCCTAAACCAATTTTTATTGAAACTTACTGCTTACAGAACCCACCTGCTACTACAAACTATTTCAATACTGTGCAACCAAAATCTAATTATAAACAAAACTATCCTCAATACTCTGCAACTATACATGTTCAAGATTCACATCCAACTGGGAACATAACATCTGGACGAGTGTACAATGGAAGCTCAACACGTATCTACCCAGCTAAACAATATAATTCAAGTTCATCACCTGTTAGACCAATTACACCTTCATCAGTCTATCCATCATATAATTCGTACAATTCAATATCGCGTGGTTCCGGCAGAGTTGTACAACCTCTACGTGTAAATGTATACAACAGGTTTGTTTACATGTTTTAATGATCACTTTTTATATTGCATTATTTCTGTCGACATTCTGATCTCAGTAGATATTTAGAATGGTCACTGAATAGTGTAAAATGTTGTGCACGTTTAGTCCTTGATACCCAGTGATCAGCCAATATTCAGTCAGTGTGACTAATAGATATAGAATGTTAGTCAGACAGGAGGTCAGTCATGTGCCGTCTCAGACAGACAAACTGTTCTATCCGGGTTCGAATCTACCATAGACTGTCTGTCTACTCAAGACTAAAGCTATGTGGTACTGGCTAGTACTAAATAGCATGAAAAACGTCCGTTGTTCCTTATTAACTACCTCCACCCAGGTAATAAAGACACAGTACTTGTGATGTCGAGTCACTTGTGCTAGGGTTCAAATTGCTACTTAGTCAATAGAGTCAGTACTAACAACTAGACGAGTATGATAGTGGAAATTGAAACACTTGAGTAGTTAGCGTGAAAGAACTTTCAGATTTTATGACAAGAATAAAAAGCTGTAGATCACTAAGTTGGAATGCAAGAGTCTATCCATTTGATTTCGACCAACTCGTGGTTTTCCCTATTTATGGCATAGTTTCATTTCATCAGCCAGAACTCATTACTTACGCTTCTACATCGTATTGTCTGTTTACTCTCCTACTAAATCTCCACCGTGGTTCATAAAAAGAAGAATAAAATTGAAAAATTTGAAATTTTCTGACTTGCAAAGGATTTCTCGGTAAGTTTTATGTCACTTCTTAAAATACCCCGATATTAGTAGTAGTTATCAATCCATGTAACTAATTGATTTTCCACTAATTAAATTGGGAAATCAATTTCTGAGAGTAAAGATAGGTGCTAAAACAATTTCAGTAATTCTCATTTATTATACTGTTACCATTTAATCTGACTCCATGAAGATTGAAACAGTGCTTATCATTTTTTATGGCTTACATATGACTTTTTATATGTCAATGTAAAACATTCAGTAGTACTCTCACTTTAAACGTGAGTTAAACGCAATTTGTCTACTTGCAGCGAATCGGATCCTAATGATTACACAGTCTTATTCAGTGTCATGTTTTAGTAATAAGATTTTGTGATGTAAATTTTCATGGATTAGAGTATTTATTGATCATTATTAGACAATCATTGAAAAGCAGTTTTTGTTCTAGTCTAAGACTTGACAGTGCGCACCCACGAACACACCATTGGGGGCCTATCCCAGAACCTTTGATTTCTTGCGCAAATGCCTAACCTCTAGAAAGTCATCCACCCTAGGTAACGTCATGTTTGTCTAGTCTTAAGTGATGATCAAACTATACCAACTGTATTCTATGTGACTGAGCATCGTGGTAGACACTATGTCATATTTTCGTGATTGTTGTCAATCGACAAGAATCCCTGTTTATATGTTTCATCCTATTTGACGTCAGCGAGCTGTGTGTTCAGCAAATTAAATGATGCTTTTGTAGAAAAGTCACCTTTTATTATTAACAAAATTATCGCATAATCAAACACATAAGGGCTCAACATAAAAATGTATTATAAATATGGGATATATATATCAAGGTTCATATTAACTATATTCAAATTCATAAAAACAGAACAATTATTCAATACATTTTCCAGACAGTATTCCATAAATCTTCTTACTGTCAATAGATGGTAAATTTAATACCAAAAATAAGTTCAAAAGTGGATTTCATGATTAAATAGTATCTACTAGCTGTTCATCTAGGATGTAACAGCTGTTCAGTATTCCATGACTTTTATTAGCTATGTTAATAGCATCAAATGTCAAAGAAAATAATTCACTTTACAAATTAATCACGTTGATTTACTGATCAACAGAAACGAAACTTATTAGTACAACCAAGGCCTTATTAACTAACAAATTCCACTTATAAAGTTCGTATTAGGGTTAGTGAAACAAATACTTTGATGATATAATCCATATTAATCTAATGATTCCCTTCAACTACTCATTAGTTATCAGTATAGTATAGTTACTTATCTGAGTTTCCACCGTGGAAGCTCAATAGATGGAACTGAATTTTCATTCAAAGACCAAAAGACATGGAGAATTTTAGTTATCAAGAATTCACTAATGTACTAGTAAAACTATAAATTCGCCCTTAGAAGATGTTGAAATTTCAAATATGTTCACTGCATACTGATGTACATTGAAGAACTCTTATTGTTTTTCATATTGTTAACAAATCTACAACAAATAAACAAGCGTTTTGGTATGCTTTGTTTCCTTAGCATTGAAAGCTTCCAAAAGCGTATTGAAAAATGTAATTATTGAAATTCAACATAATTTTTCCGAAAAACTTCGGGATTATAGACCTAAGTCATCGGTTAAACTTCATGTGATATGGGTCTTTTTGTGGCATCTCACTAAAATGTTAGCAAATAATATACAGTGAATAAAAAAATCGATCTGATTTTATCAATCCATTGGTCGAAACCTTGTTAGCAGTAAATCAAAGTGTTCATGTTCCAGTAAAATAATAAATTTGAGTCGAATATTCTAGTGAGAGTATTCATTTAACTTTCGGAAGTAGATAAATGTGAGAATATATTCAGTTCGTGAAGAATGAAACATCTAATAACGTTAATTCTGTTCGTGTGACAGCCGTTTGAATTATTTATTAATAAATATATAATACAGCCTAATGAACATCACAGATTTGTGTACTAGACTATGAAGTTTAGTGATTTTATTTAATTATTACTTCAAATGATAGATTAAATTTCAAGTAGGAAATATGGGTCGTTTAACTCTAACTCAGAAGTAGCGTGCTTAACACAGGACCTAAAAGACCTAGGTCTGGTCTCTGGGGGAATAATGGGTCACCAGTCCCTTGGGTTCCCAAACTAAGATAAAACAGCTGGTTAGTACTCTTTGTTTTTGAAGGATTTCTGGTTCATATCAGTCCCTGACGAAAAGCGATTTCAACATAGACTGAATTCTGTAGGCTTCCGGAAACGATCATTCGAGACTTTTAAACTAGATATACTACTTAGCATTCTTATGTATTATATGGAAGAAGTGTGTAACTAAATTAATATTACTTAGTCGAAATTTTGTTTGTATATATATTTCTACTTTTAGCGATAATGCATCTACGGTATACAGTCCACATAGAAAAGTAGAAAGTTCTCCCAACTGGAATCCTAGTTCACCTATTTATCCAGCATATCCAGCCTATATGGATAAATCAAATCATGTTGATATTCAGGTGAATTTCTAATTATATTTTCTGTTTGTTTCATAAATTTTAAAATAACAGTGTTGTACTAACTAAGTCGCTAAGTATATTCGCTTTAAATATTATGTTTCCTTCAATCTATATTTGAACAATTTAAGTCATACCAGAGGGAATAAAACTGATTGATGTGTAAGATTGTGAATATGTTCTAGAAATTACTATGGGAATCGGTAACTGTTCAATGAGTATACAAGCAAAAATTAATTTATGAAGTATACAACTTACAAGTGAAGAAATAATAATGACAATGAGATATAAAACGACGATATATCTAGAATATTAGTGATGACAGAAGGTTATTTCTTCAGAATTTCTTCACTAGGGTTTCAAACAAAAAATACTGGATTCATGGAACAATACAAGTATGCTCAACAGGAAATTTGAAATAACATGCTAGTTGATCTTATCACATGACTATGTGAGATCTGTGTTTTAGTTTTGTTTAACTGTGACAGTGTTAACTGCAACCTTCAGAATAGTATTCACCTCGACACCCGTGGCATTGACAGTATCTAACGTATTGAGATCACACTTATATTAACACACCAGATGCCCTGTCTAGTTCTAGTTCTTTAATAGTTTGAGGTCAAGTAACATAATATCACAACATTGTTCATCATATCAAGTGTGATAAATCAAAACAAATAAAATTCGGGATTAAATTGCACCTCATCTCGCAATATTACGCTAATCTGCAGTACAAAACTCATGCAGCCAGGGAATCGAAACCGATCGGCTAGCTATATGAGACGGGTGTGTACATTATGCGTCGTATGCAAATGACTAATTTTGTACCATAAACGAATGCATCTGGGTTAGTGTGTGCATCAATACAACTCCCATCTTGTTTCCGATGAAAAAATGTCTAAAAAACTGTGTTTGTAGTCTCGTTACTAAGCCTCCTGAGTTATAATAATAGCACAGCTGAACGCCAAGCTACATTATGGACGCTTAACTTTACTACATTGTTAAACTTAGATAATCGCTACATCAGAAGATAAAATTTTAGACGTCCCTATTAATACACCTTGTTTTTTGTCCAACGAGACCTGGCTGAATTCTTTTAACCAAATAACACTAATAATACAACTAAAATGAAATGAAATAAAAGCACCAATACAGCAAAGAATAACGTAACAGTATTCTAGCACATTGTGAAGATTTGCATTGTCATTTGCTTTAACGTTTCTGTCTGACTGAATACACTTCATCGTTACATTCATAACCGAAGTTGAACTTTCTAGTACATTTCTTGACACCCCAAATCAGGAGGGCCAATAAAATCAATCAATCCTCACACACATGTGTACGATCGGACATTAATTTACACTTATCTTTCTTCTATAGATTGCATGTAGTACACAAGCTAAAGTATTCCACACTATGCAACAGTGTGAGAAAATTTTGTCTTTAGGCTTTTGTGTCTGTATCTGCATACATTGATATTTGAGTTGATCTGGAACCAGAAACATTCATGGATATATTTGATTATTGATTTTATGAAATTATCAATAGTATGTTTGTATTGTATGTTACATATGTTGACAGATATAAGTAGTATGTAGCACCGATCCGAAGTGGAATGCCTGTGAGCAGAAGATTGGGAAGATCCAAATAAAAAGGATAGAAAGGGAAAGTGAAAGTGATTTTAATAACAACAGAATTGAAAGAATCATGAAGCATGTAAAAGACATTGATGGAAGATGTCCAATTTAGGCATTTCGTGCGTGACCTTCATATTTTACGAAAGCAATCTGTAATTTCGGATTACTCAATAAACTGGTTATTACCCACCAAGACTTCATTCACTACGACTGGTGTCGCTGCCAAAGGGCAGGCGGAGAATATAGAATTCTGAGGACACCAATTTAAAGCCCAGATAAAAAACGCTAGTTGGTACAGTCCAGTGCATGGAGAGGATGTCTATTGGAGTGTTTTGGCGGGTTGGCGTTGGCTGTTGACGGGAGGAGAAACTAGGCCTCGAGTTCTGTGTGAACATTGGATTTAGATGATATGGCAGGTTGGCATTGTTATGGCGGTCAGTGCGCTGGTGGACCCAGCATTTCGAAGGAGAGCGCGACACAGACTGAGACAAGGAAGAGAGCGGCACGGCAATGTGAACGACGGCAAGAGTAACCTTTATTTAAATCGAGAACTAGTATGGCGTATGCTACTTATGTTGACAGTTATAAGTAGTATGTCGCACCGATTACATTTTGATTGGTTGTTTGCTTATTTATTTATGAACTACTCGTGGACTACATAACTTAAGTGTGATTGGTTTATTTGGCGAATATTTTTCAAGTATGTGAGGGGATTTATATGAGTGAGAAAGATTGTGTGTGTTCATTTGGTCATAAGAAGAAACCTAGGATGTAATGTTACAACTTGAATAAATATATATTGTATACGAACTACTGTTAGACAGTATTTGAAATTCTACTTTTAGTAACCTACCGGAACAATAGTTTCTGTTCAAAAGGCGTTTCCAAATATCTTCTTACCTGTACTTGTAGACTTTATTCAAATGAGAGTCTAGAACAAAAACCCTCAGTAATTGGAAAAATGATATTTACACAGTACACTTGTGTACACGGGAAGACATGACTAAACAAACCAGGCACCATGCAGTCATGAAAGAACCTTGCATTGTAACTTATCTTCAAATTCAATAAAATCACCAAATGAACCCACTAAACAAACATTCGACCAAAAACTACTTTGTATAAAAAGAAACTATTCTTTAAAACAGTCAAAACACTATAAGTACTCTTTTCTAGTTACGTACGATTGCATATAACAACTTACTTGAATATGCCGAAAAATATAGATTAAGAGAACATAGAGAATGATAAATGTTTTTATTACTGAGTGCGCTTCAGTGAAATTAAGACTCAAAGACATCAAAAATGATTATTGTTCATTACCTCCACAATTAATCGGTAGCGATCGTCTCGATTTTTTTTAAGTAATCTGAAATGAATAGTGAATTAAGGGATAACTTTCTCATCCTTTGCTGAATCAGATGTTCTTATAAGAATGAACAAAACCTGCCATAATAAAACAAAACGTTGATTACCCTCCGCTTAACTATCATTATTAATATTTTATTATATCTCAGACTAGTTATCTCATTCCCGTAATATTTACGTAGATCCTTCAAAATTTTGCCAACATTTTACCAAGTCTCCAGACGTATATATATCATAATATTTATTTACATTGAGAATAAAAAGATTTAAAGCGTTCCGTGATAATTTCTTAATTGGATTATGGTGCATTTTTACTGTACAACTATTCAAAATAAGTGTTTATATGATATACTTAATCATAATACCTTGTAAGCGTGAGAAAGGTGAACATTTCCCGTATGTAAAAAGCTTCGAAACGATAATTAAAATCCTCTTGAAAGAATATTTGATTGATTGGTTGTAAATTCAATGATTTTATTAGTTTGTGGTTTTTCTATCTGACCATGTTGTTTTTAGCCTTTACGTTATAGACGAGAGCAATCTGTTCGTCCAGTAACAATCTATTCAACAAATAATCCATCAACTAATACAACAATTGAAACGAAACAAGTATGGAAAGCTATACCAGCTCAGAATTGGTTAGATACACAAAGAACAGTACGTAGTGGTACATTTATAACTACAACGAAGAAAATTCCTACTGGACGACGTCCAGATATTACCAATGAACCATCAGGTGTGTCAGAGTTTTAAATGTCAACATCTATTTGGATTTAACAACAATAACATTACATAACTACTTATATATTGTCAAATATGAAATAAAAAAGCATTTTTACATTTCTAGTAATCAATATGACATCGGAAAATATTATAGAATTAAAAAAGAGTTCAATTGGACAGGAATTGTTCTTCAATGTAGTAATTTATTTCCCAAGATTACATCTAATCATTTATTTTACCCTCGTTTTAACACTATTTAAATCATTAACTAAGGTAACATATTTGTTTGTTTCTTTTTGCTTTGATTTTAACAACAAATATATAAGATGACTCTTTTGGTTTGTTTAGTTTTTTCGTCATGGTTTTCGTATACAAACACTAATGAGATAAAAAATGAAAAGTTAATAATGAATTTATATAGAATTATTATTATTATTATACTTTTTTGTCTTCTCAAAAATTGGTTCTCATTACGTTCCTCTTTCTCCTCTTACTTAAATGTTATTTCGTAGGATTACAGTTTTATTTTCATTTAAGTTGAAGATTACAATTCTTCAATTTATTTTGTTGTAATTCATTGATATAAAATATTATTTATCTTCAAAATTGCATGAGTTTATTGTATTAGTTATATTTGTTTTATTCACTTAAAACTATTTTTATTGTTTCCATTGTTTCAATTATTATGACAATCATAGCTACTAAAGTTATTATTGATTGTTATTCATTTCTATTATTCATTGGCTTTATCCTTTCAGAATGTCTTATTGAATTTAATCAAGTTACTTTAGGATATTTTTTAACTTCATGGCATGATACGCTTTAACTAAGCTTTTGTCTTTTTTTTAAGTTTCCAAAAATCGAAACATGTACTTGTTTTCTAAATAAAATCTTTCATTTAATTTATTAAATAATACAATGAAATACAAACATTAGCAAAGATACATACATACTGAACATCACATTAAACGAATCTTCAAAGGATTATATATATATATTGTGATTGAAATTCCCTTATGATTTGATTAAACAAATAAACTACCTTCCTTTATTGATCCAAAGTGTTGTGTTTTCTTTTCAACAAAATAAGTCTTTTGAGCCTACTTTTTCAAAAAAAAAAAGAATTACTCACAATAGAATCATTTGACAATGGTCATTGGGATATCCATACAGATTATTAAAGTAAAATGTATCAAACTAATTAACAACTGAAGGGGGAGATTTTAGTAATTTAATAGTTGAATTCATGAGTTAATTGAAGCTAGACCATCATGGAAAACCTGGGAGCACTGGACGGCCGTTTCGTTCTACTATGGGACTCTTCAGTAATGCTCATCCACGAATCCACCTTTCGAGATTCGAACCAGGATCTATCGGTCTCGCGTGCGAACGCTTTTTACCATTAAACCACTGAGCCGGCATTCAATGGTGTTAATGTCTAAGTTCAACTAATCCACGAAATCGCGCCAGCGTCCACCGTAATCTTCAGTGAGTTACTATTTCACAACAGATCTGGTCATAGCTTTTCACTAGAACTCCAGGAAATACCTCTTGAAGCCAGTCACTAGTGAGCATATGTCGATTAATATCAGAAGCGGTTTTTGTGGGGATTTTAGTAATTTAGTAGTTGGATTCATGAGTCAATTTAAGCTAGACCGGCATGGAAAACCTGGAAGCACTGGACAGCTGTTTTGTCTAAGTACTGGACTCTTCAGCAGCGCGGGATTCCAATCCAGGACCTATCGTTCTCGCGCGCGAACACTTGACCTATATATTGCTTCCAGGTTCTCCATGGCGGTCTAGCTTTAATTGACTCATTAATTCAACTGCTAAATTAATAAATAACAGTTAATTTCTGTCTACGAAACCATAATTGTTACAACTTAGTCAATGTTTTTATCAACTAGAGCAATAAGTACATTATATCTATTGAACCATTTTTTTATGAAGTAATTAGTAGTTCAGTAAAATAGTTTCCAATTTTATATTCTTAGATTTATTTGGAATTGAAATGAATTATCTTGATCGCATATTTTCGAAATGTTTGTGCTTGTATAGAGCCACCTAATTTTGATGTATGTGATTAATAAAACAGAATGCTTAGAAGTAAGGTGTTTGCAGACCCTAAACGTTTCCATTATTTAATATCTATTTTAAAATTTCAATGACATCTTTGTTCATGTAACTAATTTTGAGATGGTGGAGAAGATTTATTATTTAAGTGGATGATTTAGATGGCTTTTATTACTGACGTTTAATCTATCGTTGTCTACACCCTTATTTTGACCGCATCTCCCTTTGATACGATTCTTGATCCTATATTCGCAAATACTTTTTTTGGTTGGCTGATAGATTGGATCGATTTCAATATATTTATTGATTGCTGATTGACCTGAGTGTCAAGCTTCTAGAAATTTTCTAGTGATTTTAGTACTCTCCATTCAAATTCTCAACCTTTTTCAGTTCAATGTGTGTCCACATTTTTCCACACGCATTGATATTAACTAAGATATGCTGTGGTAGTCGGTATTCGATATAATCCTTAAACTTCCTATACAGCTCGTCTTGATAACCGTTCTATATAACGTCCCAACGGTATACTAATCAGAAGGCAGATACGAAGTGTTGATTACGTTTATTGCGAGACCACACACATATCCAAATGTACAGATGCGTTAAACAAGCATAGAATAGTTGTGCCGAAAGGCAAGCAAGCGAGCGAGAGCCAGAGCAAGAGCAAGACGAGAGTGTGTGTGTTGAATATGAATAACATGGACATATATATACCATGTGAAATGAATGAGTAATCGAATCAAATAAGCATATAGTAGTAAGACTAGCAGAGTGAATAAATGCGTAGACCGTAATCAATATTCAAGCATACGTATTTCATACAAGCACAAAATAATAAGGGTACAATAAGTCGTTATAGTGTGGATGACTTTGTCCGCTAAATGAGTTAACAAAAGGGCTTAACTGAGTTAAATGAGGATAAACTCAATTGCACGTGAGTCGCTATAATGCCATGGTGTTTGATCGCTAACTGATGTTCGTGCAAGAGACGATAAAGGAGGGGTCTACTTTGTTCGATTCAGTGATTTCCTCAGTTTTAACTGTTTTGTAGGTGTAAGAAAGTAATTAACTACAGAAGAAATTCTAAAGTACTCTCCAGACTACCGAGCACAGAGTTTTAGCTCAGAAAAAGTCACAACAAGTAAGGTATTTGGCTTGATAAACTTTATCTGTTTTTAAAACGTAAATTAACTCTGTTAGTATGCAAAAAGCAATAATACATTCTGTTAAATAGGGGGAAAAAGAAACATAAATAACATGCTGGACAGTAACTAGTGTATAGGAAAAATGAGTCAACAAACCATGTATCATTTATGAAAAACACAACAATTATGATTGTTGAATAAACAAGGAACAGTCATCCAAACGCCTTTAGTAATATCGTCGCAATTTCTGATTTGTCTTTTACAAATGGTACGATGATCCTTTTGCTGATTTTTATACTTGCCTTCGTTTCCGCTGATGAGTTATGTTGATATTTTCTGATGAATTTGATTGAGTAGCCGTTCTTTCGAAAGATAGTCTTTAGATATTTTTCTTCACTTTTCCGCGTAGTAAGTGTGCTACAGTGTGTTCTTTTTCCCTTGAATAAAGATTGTACGTAGTTGATTTCGCGAGTTCTTCGGTTGTTGCTACTTTGATTGAAAATTTGACCTGTGTTGGCCCGCTTCCGATACACTTGAGTCTATATTTTTTTGTGTCGGTTCTGGTGAATAGTGATAGTTTGTTGTTCGAATCCTTTTTCCACTGTGAATTTTATGTCATCAAAAATGTTAGAATTACTTTAAATATTCATAGACTTATTCTTGTCGGGCCAATGTGTTGTAGTTTCTGCCGTATAAATTTGACTCTATAGATAAATTGTCCCAAATATGTTAGTTTACTAATAATACATTGATCCACTTAATATCATCAGCGTAACATCGAGATTCGAAAAAAGTTGTGGGATATCGTATTTCAAACGAACTAAATCGTTTGCTGTGGTTAATTCGCATACTAGCTACATCGAGTCCCTCCTTCGTAACGTTTATATTCGAATAACCAGTCACAAATGATTATAGGAAGTTTTTCTTGGATTCTGCCGCTCAACATTTTTATTAAATATCGTAATAACGATTATCCGACATCCGTTTTATTGATAATAATACCGACTTTATTCAAAACTCTATGTTCAGCACAATATGGAGTTCTCAGTACAAAATGAACCAGATGAACCTAAGACTACATAACTGGAAGACAATCGTCTTAACCTCCAGGTTACTGCTTAACTACTCTAATTACTTCCATTCAAAATCTGTTAACACGCGTCCAAATTTAAGTTTGCTTAGCTAAATTTCTGTTTTTTTCACGTTACTCTGCCACTCAAACGTTTTTATTTCATTTTATAGTTTTTGACGAAACATCACTTTATACTGAACTCACAAGCAATAGAAAGTTTCAGCTCTGATCTCGTGAATTACTGAATATTTACTGTGAATGTTACTCTTTGAAACCGTAACATTTTATACTTAAACTCACACAAAGGTATCGGATATCTACCTTGACAGTTTTACAACACAACAAATACGTTTTCTCGCACTAAAAATGAAAAACAACTCTTGAAAATTTCACTATGTGAAATGTGAGATTTACTTCCGTAAGATGACTTCGACTACAAACGTGGATTTCCGAACCAATACTTGGTTTTACTGAATACAACAGCTTGCAGTTTATATTACAGGATTACTTGAAGAGAACGTACAAAAATTTGTGGATGTTTAGTGTCAGTGAATACTTAATACTTTGTTTGAAAATTTTCCGGGTTTATACTAAACCAACTGGTTTCCGAAGTCCACAGTAGCAAACAGATGCAGAAAATGACCCAGGCAAGCTTCACAACTTTATTTGATGGTATTTTTACATTGTTTGCAATATATATGTGTGGTGTTTGGATGAACTATTGATTCCTTTGTACTTGTTGAATGCTTGATTTCGAATGCTAAATACATTACATTCGTTTGTGGTTATCTAGTACTTCTTGATCTGATCACGTTATTCCTGGAATTCTTAGTTCATACTATAATTCAAATACTTCTGATTATCATAATATGCCAACATTAATTCACAGAAATGTGATATGGAATAATTTGTGGTTAAAATATATTACATTTAAATGCTACAAAAGGCAACTACTATGAAAAAGTATGATGTTTCTCAACCAAGTATCTCAATCATTATATTGTACTACGTATTATGTATGTGTATACAATGCATTATGCATATTACATAATATTACGCTTGATATGTACATACAAACGCTAGTTGCTATAATTATTGAGAAACCCTTTCATAAAAAGATTGTTTTACCTGTACTATGTTATAGTCTATGGTCGTGTAAGTCGTTTTTCAAATTTCAAATTCTTGGTACTCGGTTTTAATTTTACCTTGCAAATTACTTCCTAGTTTGACTCTTGATCTACATTATATTAATTGTCTTATTTGTTTGTCAATTAGTTAAAATTTTCGCAGGATTTCTACTGATTCCATTGTAGTATTCATCTCAATATTTATTCACGTTTACGTAACTTTTTACAAAAACAGTGACCTAAATACTATTTCAACATCATTGGTAACATCTACTATAGTGATGCCGTGCTTTAATATTAACACGGAATCATTATAAGTAATTACCTATGCAATTGTTGCAAGTTATCCTATTTTCAATATGCAATATCTTCAGGTCGGGCTAACATATGCCAAATGGGTTCTTTGCACTTTTTATTTCTTGTTTCGGTGATATTACAGGTCTTTGATGATCAGAGAATTTCTAGGATCCTTCGTAGATGCGTGAATGTTTTGAAATCCTCTTGCACTCATCCTATATGATAATAACCTCTATTCCACTCTGAATGTAAAGTCACTCTTCACAATCACCTAATTTCTGTGTTCCATATTTATTTTGGTCCGGTATAACGATTTTATAATTCATTTTTTACTTATAGTGGCA